GATACTTTCGATTTGATTAAGGACACGTCAAAGACCAGAACTTCACAAGCCAGCAGGCCTAGGGAATGTGGATGTTGAAACCAAGCAAAACGCTTGCCAAACAACGTTGGATGACAAGTTCTTCTTATTTGGCTTTAGCCTTTAGGCTTCAGGGTTTGGTAGGGTTTAGGGTAATCCCGCCTGGCCCCCTGCACATTTTCCAGGATGAAGTGCGCAGGCTTATTGGCCCGGATAGACCGCACCGTCAGGTGAAAGGTTTTCTCGGATTCAGCCTCCAGAGATGTAGGGTCTGTCGTAAATCTGTCAGCTCGTAAGACCGAGTTGGACTTGCAGACGAAGCCAGCACAGTACAAGGCAAGACCGTTCTCAGGCAATGTGCAGCTGCAGACCATATTGTGTTTGACACAAAATCCTCCTTTGGAGGCCGTCGTGGATGCCACATCCTGCAACACAGCATAATTAATTCCAGACTAAACGCACATGGCAACTGCCTACACAGACCTGCTCACGACACTCCAGTCCTGGAAGAGGTGCTTGGGGTTACCCTGTCGAAGACCCCAGGCTTGACAGGTCGGCTTTATCTCGGCACCGAAAACATGGTCGGTTTTGAGGCCCAGGGCTTGCAGGCAGATGTGCACACTGTTGAGACCATCAAAACCGGAAGCCCACGGTAAGACCTTCTTCGAGTCCTTGGGATGCGGAAGACCTGATGTCCGGACCAGTTCGTCGACGAAGGCCTTCAAGTCGAATGGGGCGTCCACAGTCCGTATCTCGAGGTGTGCCGGAACCTTCGCGGCAAACAAAGGATCCTTTTTCGCTGCAGGCCGCTTCATGGATGTCTTCTTGGTCTTTCCCATCTCAGAGACCTGGGTTCTCAGACTGAGCCTGGCGCTGCGGAATTCATTTGTCCAAGGCCAAGTATGAAACGTATGAGTTTACATTTATGTCGTTGAATGCAAACGACCAAGATAATTTCTTGCAAATCTCCATCGGCATGGACTGCTTCCTCGGGCGAGGACTTTGAGAAGACCACGACGAGATCCACGAGGCCTCGGTTGTATGATGAATGTCACTCAGACACCACCGCTTGGCTGGGGCAACGGCGGCATGTGCAGCGAGGATCCTGGCAGGATTT